TCATTTGCTTATGTTTATGTCTATTATCCCTCCTAGACTATATGTTCAATGAAATTAGATGCCTGGAGTGAATTAACTCCTAATGTATCCCAAGAAACTAACAGAATATTTAATACAAGTAGACATTTAAATATATTTACTTATTAAGTGCAAAAATATAAAATATGGAGTGGAAACCATATTGTATTGAGTTTAGTTGAGTGAAAGGAAAAGCAAATTGTGAACAAAAACTGCATTCTCACAAAGAACTTTTAATAGGAAAAAACTGGAATTACAAGTCTTTGCTGAAAAATATCAGGAAACTCAAATATCAAATGTTGAGGATGTCAAGCACTAACGTGAAATCTCGGCTACCAGGAATAGATTAGAGTCTAGAGTTAAAGCAAAGAGCTTATATTATAGGAAATTTTGAGAAAGAGAAAGAAAAGACTGAGAACAAGAAGAAAGATTAGTGTTGAGTTATCCGTATTGTATTCAGTATCTGTGTACAAAGAGTGTAGTTGTGCTGACTAGCTTAAAAAGAGCAAATGAAAGGCTAAACAAATGATAATTTTCAGGGGGACCATAAAATGTACAGGCATTCATAATGTTACTTGGTAGAGGAAAATAATTTATATTCAATATGGGAGTAATCTAGGCCAATTTTAAGCCATAAAATTGTGATTTTATGTAGGTTGTGGTGGTGGTTTAATCGCTAAGTCATATCTGCCTCTTGCGGTCCCATGGACTGTAGCCCGCTAGGCTACTCCATCCATGGGATTCTCCAGGCAAGAATACTGGAGTGGGTAGCCATTTCCTTCTCCAGTTATGTAGGTTAGCCATAGCAATTTTTGGATGAAGTAAAAAGAAAGATATCCAGTCTCTGGCTGGTGATCAAATGGTACAAAGACAACATCTTGCTTCCATCTCAGAAATATCTGTTAAAAGACAGGACCCCCAGTCCTGAAGCACTTCGTGATTTGGAGAAGAAGCCAAGATATAAAGTGAAGCATAAGTGGGTCATCTGGTACAAATTACTGGAATTGGTGCAAGACAAAATCTTTCACAAGGCACAAACAAAAGCAGAAGTCCAATGACTAAATTTAGGGAAAAAAATATCAGAGTATGATGGAATCAAAGCCAACTGTTGGTCAATATGCAGCCTGCAATGAGCTATTATTTGTACACAGCAAGTATCACATTATGCCAACAGCCATATTTTATATGTTTAATGTAAATGATGAGTTTGCTAGCTTGAAGCTTAAATTTGTACTCAACATGCTAGAATATTAAGAAAAGCAATCTGAGATAAAGGACAATATTGAGTTAATTAAGATACAGAACACAAAGAAGTCAGAAGACATTATGGTCTGGGGTTTTGAGGAAAAAATCAGATATGTGGGACAAAGAAGTTTTCAGAAAAACTGAAAAATAGCAGTTGAAGAGTTCGAAACCAAGAGAGTCCTGTCACTCTATCACAAAGGATAATTAGGTCTGGATAATCATTCACCATGAACTGCAAACAAAGACTAGATAATCAATGGACTGTTTATTCACTGATTGGTAGAACATAAGAAAAAGTTGACCTTGCTCAGCATTGCAAAGAAACTGTAACTCAGGCAAATTAGGAAGAGAACACAGATATTCTCAACAGTTGGGTGGTAAAGGCTGAGTAAAGCATGGGTTTGTTCCATGACTTATATAATAATACTATCCGCATTTATATGTAGAGAATTTTTAAAAGAGCAATACAGAAGTTTATTTAGTTATAGAAACACTAGGTGGTTCTAACAGGTACTACTTCTGTTTCTATTCCTCTTCCTTCTTCTGTTTGCCATGCAGAAGCTCATATAAAATATCAAAGTTTTCCTATGAAATTATCTTCTACCTTTCAGGTCCATTCAAAGTTTTTTCACATCTTCAGTTTTCCTCAAACCTGGTTCCTATCAAGGATTCGCCTTGCACCATGTATTGTTGTAAACCTGAAAGATGGGCTAATGTCAGAGTTTTTTCTTTTCTTTATCTTACAGCAAAAAGTGTTCATCAAGATTTTCTAAACAGTTTTATTGAGGTATAATTGATAGATACTAAGCTCACATACTTAAAGTGTTCAGTTTTTTAGTTTTGATAAACAGGTGTGTACCTGTGAAACCATCAAAGCAATCAAGACAATGAACATATCAATTATCCCTCAAAAGTTTTACCCCCAGTATAAAAACGACTTGAGCAAACCACTCCTTCAGTCTCAAAAGGTTAGTTTGCATTTCCCAGAATTCTAAATGAGTTCACAAAGTAGAAGACTGATTCCTGTTGTCACATGTGTCAACAATTCATTCCTTTGTGATGCTGAGTATTAATTCCACTGCTTGTTTTCCCATTTACCAGTTGAAGGACATTTTTTTGTTTCTAGTTTTTGTCCCTTACAAATAAAACTCACTTAAACATTCATGTACAAATCACTAAATGAACATGTGTTACCAGTTCTCTTAACTAAAACCTTTGAGGTGTTTAATATTTAAAAAATTTTAGGTTTTATATTTATGTCTATGATCCCTTTTTGTATATGGTGTAAGGATTGAAATTCATCTAGCTGCAATATGAATAGCTAACTGTTCAGCATATTTGTTGAAAATATCACAATTTGTCAAAAATCAATCATTCATATATGTGTTGATTATGTTAATACAACACCGTTTTCATTATGGCAGTTTTATAAAAAAAAAATCTTGAAATAGGCTACTGTTAGTCTTCCAACATATTCATCACTTCCAAATTTGTTATGTCTATTTTAGACTCTTTGCATTTCTAAATAAAATTTAAAATCAATTTGCCAGTTTTTATGAAAAAATGCCCACTAGGATATTGATTTTGGTTATGCTGAACTTGGAATTCAAATTGTGAAGCACTGAAATCTTAACAATAAAGTCTTCTAACCCAAGAATTATTTAAATCAACCCAATTATTTAAATCTTCTTTAATTTCTTTCAAGAATATTGTGTAGTTTGGAGTATATAGGATTTTCACATTTTTGGTCAAATTTACTCAATATTTTGTATAATATTGATACTACTACAAATGGAATTTACTTTTAAATTTTAACTTCTGATTTTTTTTGTTGTGTGATTTTTGTATATTGATCATGTATCCTGCAAACTTGCTTAACTCAATTATTAGTTCTAGTAGTTTTTTGTAGATTTTATTATACGTCCTACACAGATGACAATGTCATCTGTTAAAAAAAAAAGACTGTTTTACTTTCTTTTCAACATGAATGTTTTTTATTTCTTAATCTTGCCTGATTGTCCTGGATAGTATCTCCAGTACCATGTCAAATAGAAATGATTAAAATTAACATTTTGGTCTTTTGATCTTAAGGAGAAGGCATTCAGTCTTTGAGTATTAAATATGATTTTAGCTGTAGGCTCTTCATGGGTGCCCTTTACACACCTAGTTCACTAAGTTTTTACTGGGAACTGGTGTTACATTTTGTGAAAGGCTTTTTTACATCTATCAAGTTGATTGAATGATTTTTCTGTTAAGACTCTTATATAATGAGTTATATACAATTTTAATTTTTGAATGTTAAACTATCCTTATATCTTTGGGATGAACCCTGCTTGGTCATGATATATTATTATTTTATATATTGCTAGATTTATTTGCTAATATTTTGTCCAGAGTTTTGCACATGTTTGTGAGAGATATTCATATGTAATTTTCCTTCCTTATAATGTCTTTTTCTGGTTTTGATATGAAGTTATATTGGCTTCATAGAACATGTTGGAAAGTAGTCACTACTCTTTGTTTTCTGGAAATGTTTGTTTAGAATTGGTATTACTTTTTTTCCCTTAAACTATTTGTTAGAATTTAACAGTGAAGCCAATGGGGCTTGGAATATTCATTGTGGAAAGATTTTTAGGAAGTTTAATGCATATATACTGTCATACTGAGTGAAGTTAAGTCAGACACAAAAAGACAAATACATGATATCACTTATATGTGAACTCTAAAAAAACTGGTACAAATGAACTTCTTTACAAAACAGAAATAGAGTTCCAGATGTAGAAAACTAACTTATGGTTAGAAAGAGGAGGTGCAGGGAGAGATAAATTGGTAAATTTGTGTTGACTATACACACTACTATATACAGAACAGATAATAATGAGGACCTGCTGTATAGCGCAGGGAACTCATCTCACTACTCTCCAATGACTTACATGAGAAAAGAATCCAAAAAAGAGTGGGCATATATATAAATATGTGTGTATAACTGATTCACTTTGCTATACAGAAGAAATTAACATAACATTATAAATCTGTACTCCAATAAAACTTTTTAAAAAAGAAAAGAAATTCAAGTGCTGTCTATGGATAATCTGCACATAATTATTCATGAGACACATTTGATTATAGAAATAATAAAAGTGACTATACAATCAAGCTTTAGTGATTTAACTATGTTTTGCCCATTTTACTTTTTTTTTTTTTTAAAAATTCATTTCTAAGTGTTTTATTCTTATTTATTTATTTATTTTTGACTGCGCTGGGTCTTCATTGCTGTGTGTGGGCTTTCTCTGGTTGCGGCAAGAGGAGGCTACTCTGTTGTGATGAGCCGGCTTCTCATTATGGTGGCTTCTCTTGTTGTGGAGCATAGGCTTCAGTAGTTATGGCTCGTGGGCTCTCGAGCTCAGGCTCAGTAGTTGGGGTGCACAGGCTTCGTTGCTCCGAGGCATGTGGTGTCTTCCCTGACCAGGGATTGAACCTACAACCCCTGCATTGGCAGGTGGACTCTTAAACACTGGGCCACCAGGGAAGTCCCTTACCTTAGTTTTTTTTTGACATAATTTCATCTCATAACAATTATTATTTTTGTTTCTAATGTAGTCATCCAAAACAGAGTGTAGAAATTTTGTGTTCAAAGACAGCCATATTTGAGTTAATATTTCCCCTTTAATTTTTGTAAATCTGTAGTGAATATTTCTCAGTTTTCTTTGTTTCATGTCCCAAATGGAAGAAAACTTGAGGACAAAAAGGAACCTCTCTCTTTTAATTACTTCCCTTTTCTGGTTGACTCCACCTCCATTATGAAATCCTTCTTTTGCGTGTGTGTGTGTGGAAGTGAAATGATTTTTAGAATTTGTAGTGGTCCTCTTCTTCAAGGGACCATTCCAAGGGAATAATACAAGAAGATTTAAGCATCATAAAACTTTGGAATGGACAAACTCAGAATGGTGCTACATGACAACTCTGGATCTGCTGGTAAAGCTTATCATTTGTTCTGTCTACTCTCTAATGGAGTATAGTAAAATTCTGACAGTCAGTGGATCTGATTTAATAATGATGGGCATCAGGAGGGTAAGTTATGGGAAAGAGCAAGAAGCCTATTAAGAAGTACCTGTATCTTCCATAGGTTCGAAATTTAAGGTATGAAATAAGGATTAGATTTGGCATCAACTCTGTAAAACCACTGAGGAACAGCTACGTAAGGAACTAAAATTAACTGAATTGTATTGAGTATAAAACGAATAGTTGTTAGAAAGGATAGAACAAGTAGCAATGCATATTGATGAAAAGTTGATTCCCTAGAGGGCATTTAGAATGACACCCCTGAGTGTTAAAATCTACCTCATGATTTATGTGGATGCATTAAATTCATTTAGCATTCTTACTTTTTTTTTTTCAAGCTTTTAAACTTGAAAGCATACCACATGAAAGCATGGGTAATAAGTCCACAGTTCTGTGTCGTAGCATTTTTACTTTAAAATTACTGTAGGATGAGAGTAAGAAGGAGAAGTGAGAGTGACAGAGCATTTTAGGCTCTTTTTGGAGATAAATTCCAGTGGCGTGTGTGTGCATGCTTGGTCGCTCAGCGGTATCCGATTCTTTGTGACCCCATGGACTGTAGCCCTCCAGGCTACTCTGTCCATGGGATTTTCCAGGCAGGAATACTGGAGTGGGTTGCCATTTCCTTCTCCAGGGGATCTTCCCGATCCAGGGATCAAACCCGTGTCTTCTGCATTGGCAGGCAGATCCTTTGTAACTGCATCACCTGGGAAGCCCACAAGGTCCAATAGTGGGGACTTTCAAATATAATCTTTGTCAGTGTTTCCTCCAGTGTAGTGTTCAATTAGAATTTAGCAGGCACTGTGCCAGGTACTGGTAAAGCTGATGAACATTATAGGTATAATTTATTTACTCATGGAACTTTCCAATGAATAATGTGGATCAGGTAGGCTTGGAGATGAGAATATCAGGGGTTGAATATTGTTCTGTGTCCAATGGGGGAAGTGCCCACTTCTAAGTTTCATCAACGCCTTTTCTGTTTTCCAGGTGCTAAGACTCACTCTTGCCATTCTTTTTTCATCTCCAACTCTCCTAATCCCTCACTTCTAGGTTGCCTGTAACCATGGACATTTTCAAAGCTTCTTCACTGTTCCTGTATGATCCTGGATATGAATTTTTCCTGCCTGCCTGCCTTGCCATTTAGGAGGAGGGTTTTCTGCCTTGGTTTGACTTTTTTGTTAATTTCAAACCTCTGAAACCACCTGCTTGCTCTAAAGCCTATTTGGTTGGAAAGACTATACTTTTACCTTCTTTTTTTTTCTTTCCACAGGCTTTAAAAGGTGTTCTGTTCATTTCGGTCCCTTCACTTTTGCTGTGGTCTCAGTTCTCTATGCCTGTTTGGTCACCAACGCTCTTGGTGAGTACTTTGTCAAATTTACTCATAATCTTTGCCCACTGTGTTGAGAATCACTGACAAGCAAATCATTCTCCTGAAGGCTAAATAGCATCTAAAAGCAAGCTTCATGGTGTTTTGAAGGATCAGGATATTAAAAGCACAAAATGAGTACCTAATGATGTGACCCCACTGGCCCAAAATGTTAGTATAGCTTTTTTTTTTTTTTTAAATAAATGCTTACTGGAAAAATGCATATTTCTTAAAGATCTGAAGTAATGTCTAACTAAAAAATAGGGAACAATACAGAGGAGGAGAAATGTCAGAACTGTTAGGATGAGGGAATTTTAGGAACATTTTGAAAATTCCAATGCCAAAATTTATCTTAAAATGTATTCAGGGAAGCCAGGTATATATCAGGAAGCACAGATTCCTATGTTAGCTAAAATAATCACAAGGCAGTAGCGAAGACCCTTGGGAGGAGTAGGGGAGAGGGGATTTTTTATGGTAGAAGATACTAGGAAAATATCTCCATTTCAATTTCCATTTGGGTAGCTACGTTCAGTTAGATTTCAACTAGCATTTTAAGAATTTATGGTATTTCCGTATGTAAAATAGATGACTAGTGCAAGTTCGATGCATGAAGCAGGGCACTCAAAACCGGTGCTCGGGGACAACCCAGAGGGATGGGGTGGGGAGGGAGGTGGGAGGGAGTTTCAGGATGGGGGACACATGTACACCCGTGGCTGATTCATATCGATGTACAGCAAAAATGACCACAATAGTGTAAAGTAATTAGCCTCCAGTTAAAATTAAAAAATTTAAAAAATAATTCATGGCCTTTTGAATATGTGTGTGAAATAGGTACTGAATTCCCAATAATCAGTCTTTCGTTTTCACTACTAGCCTTCTTTCCACTGATCTTAGGATTTTGGAGAAACTTATATAGCTTATCCCTATAAAATTTTGTAATATTTTTATAGTAAACTATCTGTAGGTTTATATACATTGATGTTATAAAGAATCTCAGCCATAAAATAAAGACACCATATAGTATTGAATTACCCAGATTTACTGCTTCTGTGTCATGGCTTCCTTTGAAACCTGTGACACTGCTGTTTGATTTTGAATTCCTATGAAATGACAGTCTCCTACTGTACCATACATAGGTTCAGAAATGCTTCTCAGAGCTGGGTTTGAAAAATAGATAAGTAATCTAAGGAATAATCATTTTACTTGCTTTGGGATCTTGACCAATTGCTACCTTTACTTGTTGTTCCAGGGGGAACAGACAAGGAGCTGAGGCTGGCGGCTGGTACAACCAAGTGTTCTGGGAGAGTGGAGGTTAAAGTCCAGGAAGAGTGGGGAACTGTGTGCAACAACGGCTGGGACTTGGCTGCTGTCTCCGTGGTTTGTAAGCAGCTGGGATGTCCGACTGTCATCAAAGCCACAGGATGGACCAATTCCAGTGCAGGCACTGGGCGCATTTGGATGGATCATGTGTCTTGTCGAGGCAATGAATCAGCTCTCTGGGACTGCAAACATGAGGGGTGGGGAAAGCATAACTGTACTCACCAACAGGATGTAGGAGTCACCTGCTCAGGTAAGACTTGTGTAAGTCAAACCTTGACATGAATGCTTGGTGGGAAAAAATCTTATAGATGGGTTAAAAATGAAAAGGCCAGTTTTCTCTAAGTAATCTAGGTATAAAATAATTCAGGTATGAAAAGGACCCAATTCATTGTTAAAGACCAGAAAATGTATGACAAGACCCATGTTAAAAAAAAAAATCAAAAGAGATTCTGAATACTACAGTCAATGAGGAAGAGATTAGCTTCAATTTTATATTAAGTAATCCTACTGTAACATTCTGTGCTCAGTTGCTTAATCATGTCTGACTCTTTGTGACCTCATGGACTGCAGCCTGCCAGCCTCCTCTGTCCATGGAATTTTCTAGGAAAGAATACTGGAGTGGGTTGCCATTTCCTAAATCATATCTAATTTGATTCCTTGTCCCCTTACCCCATAAAATGCTGCTTTCATGTATTGGCTCATAAAACATGACCCTTTTGCCCATTAACTGATAATCAATTTACCAAGTCAAGAAGTAAATACTCCTAGCACTAATCTGTTTTGTTGGAGGAAGAATATTTTGCAAAGTGGAATTGCTTTTTCCACCGTGAAATGCTATTCATTTCATTTGCATGGTAGTTTTAATTTATAAAATATTTCATAAGTTTCATCTCACTTGCTATTATGATAACTCAGACATTTCTGCAGACAAAACCCAAGGTCATGTTTCTGACCCAGTTCAGATTCCTGGGCTTCCAATTTCTCTTTGCTCATGTCATTGAAATTTAGGCAATCTTCTCACCACCCAGCCTTTCTGTTAGAGACCATCTCCTCCATAGGACTGATTTCAGAAAGGATTAATCTCTATCCAGGCTTCTCTGGTGGCTTAGTGGTAAAGAAGCTGCCTGCCAATGCAAGAGACATGGATTTGATCCCTTGGGAAGTCCCCCTGGAGAAAGAAATGGCAACCCACTACAGTATTCTTGCCTGGGAAATCACATGGACAGAGAAGTCTAATGGGCTACAGTCCATGGGGTCATAAAGAGTCAGACACAACCTAGTGACTGAACAACAACAACAATCTTTACCCAGGCGCTGTGGTGTCATGGGAGTAACTAGTTTCTAGAAAACTTCTCAACTACTCCTTAATGCTATTATTTTGAGTAAGTTGTAAATCTTTCTAAACTTCAGCTTCTGAGTAGTCAGTAATATAACACATGTAAAGCTACTGTACAATGACAGGTATGTCATAGATGCTAAAAATTAGCATTAGTTTCCTCATGGCTCACACTCATTTCTCTTTCTTCTTCCTTCTCTTTCTCTGTTCTCCTCCTCTTCCTTCCTCTTCTTTCTTTTATTGTTATCTTTCATTGTTAATCATTTTGCAGGGAAAGATAAGAAATAATAATTGTAAAAGCTACATCAAGCATCTACAGTGAAGTTAAAAATCATAATAAATCTTGCCAGGATCTTACTATAATTATTGCTGTTGATGGTGTTGACTGTTTAAGCTAAGACCTCAGTGTAGTGCTTTAACCTCCTGTGTTCTGTTTTTCATATCTTTTGCATAAGGATCCTTTATATAAAGATGATGTCAATCAAATTTAATTTTTGAACTTTGTACACCTAAAGCTTCAACTGGTGCATAATAATAGAAAGGGATGAGTAGTCAGGGACTCATGAGTTTCATGAGATTTCCAAGTTCATATTTTTAAGATTTCAGAGTCCATATTTCTGAGATTCTCCACCCTGATCAATGCTCAATTCTCAGAGCATCTGCTTCTTGGAAATTCTATTATGATCACATGCATAATAGTAAAGAGGGTAGACTTTGATACTAGACTGTTTTTTTTTTCTTTACATTGTCCTTCTACTATTTTCTTTATTTCTACATAGACAAGTTTACTATGTCTTAGTAAGAGAGGGAAAAAAAACACAAAGTAATTCTAATCCATGAAAGATTTTTTTGGGGGGTCAGTTGATAAAGATGAAAGTCCTAATCATTTGTTAGTTTTCAAAGATTAAAATCTTTCAATATGTGAACTGGAGCAGCATGCACAACGAGGCATCATTTTTAAGGAGAGCAGCAAGTCTCAAGAGACCAGAGGAATACTATTCTCTAAGATCACTTCAGAATAAATATCACTTCTGAATTCTGGCCTTTTCTCTTCTCTAGATGGATCTGATTTGGAGATGAGGCTGATGAATGGAGGAAACCGGTGCTCAGGAAGAATAGAGATAAAATTCCAGGGCCAGTGGGGAACAGTGTGTGATGATAACTTCAATTTGGATCACGCTTCTGTGGTTTGTAAACAGCTTGGATGTGGAAGTGCTATCAGTTTCTCTGGCTCAGCTCATTTTGGAGAAGGATCTGGGCCAATCTGGTTTGATGATCTGGTATGCCATGGAAATGAGTCAGCTCTCTGGAACTGCAGACACGAAGGATGGGGAAAGCACAACTGTGATCATGCTGAAGATGCTGGAGTGATTTGCTTAGGTAAGGACTGCTCTGGGTTTGTTCTGTTCTCTCTGAGAGGACAAAAATGGGGGTAAAAGTCTCAAAGGCTTGAACTCTTAAAAACATAATGAAGTGTGCTTCTTTTCCTTCTCTCACTATTAAAAAATTTTTTTTTATTGGAGTATAGTTGCTTTACAATGTTGTGTTATTTTCTCCTGTACAACATACAGATGACCAAGAAGTACATGAAAAGATGCTCAATATCACTAATTATTAGAGAAATGCAAATGAAAACTACGATGAGGAAAGTCTTCTTCTTTTATTGCCTCATTAATAACAATTTCAGGATGCAGTTCTGATACTTGTGTTGTTTTTTTTTTTTTTTGTTGTTGTTGTTATTGTTCAGTCACTTAGTTGTGGCCGACTCTTTTTTGTGTGTGTATGTGTCCGACTCTTTTGTACCTCCATGGACTGTAGCCCACCAGGCTCCTCTGTCTATGGAATTCTTCAGGCAAGAATACTGGAGTGGGTTGCCATTTTCATCTCCAGGGGATCTTCAAACCCAGAGTTGGAACCTGAGTCTCCTGTAAATTCTTTACTGCTGAGCCATGGGGAAGCCCGTGAAGAATTTTTTTTTTTTTTTACCATTCACTGAAATTAGGATAAATAGTTTAGGGAGGAAGGATGAGCCATGAAATTGAGATCCAAGTTATGAGGATAGAAGAAAGTATTCAGAGAATAGTCTACTCCCTCACCCCTCCAAAAAAAGTAAGGAAAAGAAACCAGGTTAACTAGAAAATGTTACTTTCTGGATGTTTTAGAAGAAAGTCACCCCTATTATTATTCTCTACCTATAAAAGCCTCCTCTTTAGCCACATTGACCCACCTTTTCCCAAACTATTAGTTCAAATTCACAGAATCAAATGATTTAAAAAGCTGGTTGTCTATTAAAACCTCATTTATGCTAATACTATACCATAAGCAGGCACTGTGTCTATCTAGGGACTTTCACGTTCCATCCTTGATTAAGGTCTGGGACATGGTTTTGTGTGTACAAAAATGTCACTCTCCTTTCTTCAATTGAATGCCTCGTTTGAAGACCTAGTAAGTCTTGAACCCCAGGGGATATTTAGGAAATTATAACCAGGGTAAAAATGTTCTTGTATTCACCAGTTTTTTTTTTTTTTTTTTCAAATGAAGGGAATTCAGTTCAAACTAGCTTTAAAATAAGGGAATACTGACTCAGAAAACTGGGAAATCCAGGAGGTACCGTTGGCTCCATCCATGACTAGATTCAGCACTTAAACAATGTCATCAAGGTTCTGGCTCTTCTTTTATTTCTTGAATTTCTTTCTTTTTTTAAACCATGCTGTGTGTCTTGTGGGGATCTTAGTTCTCTGACCAAGGATAAAACCTAGGCCCCATGTAGTGGAAGCTCACAGTCCTAACCACTGGACGACCAGGGAATTCCCAAGTTGGCTTTTTCCATGTTGAACAATGTGATCATGTACAGTCTGAACCACAAAGAATGGGATTCCTACAGAAAAGATGAGTTCTGTTAGCTGAAGAAAGTGAAAGCGATTTGGGGTAGAGAAAATACAGTATGTACCTTCCGATTTCCTTTACTCAGGTCTCCAATCAGCATGTTTCTTCTCAGTGTGTTTGATATGTGCTGAGGAATCAAAATAAACAGCACTGTAACAAAAAAAAATTAAAAGTGCCAGAGGAAAAAACCAATTTATTTATTATAGGATATTACTCAGAATCAAGTGCTAGTCTTTGAGGAGTGTTGATTGGGGGAAAGTGAAAGGAGTAATGATGAAGTCCCTTCTCTCTTTGTGTTGTTTTTATTTTATTTTTAATTTTTTTTGCATTGCTTTTAAACTATGGACATGATCAGAAAGGGGTCAAGCATGGTGATACAAACCAAATAGTCTGGGTAGGTAATGCAGTCAAAGCCAGAAGTGAGTGTTAAGTATTGCAGCAAATATATATATATATATATATATATATGTATATATATATAAAAGCACCTAGGCATCTCCAAGTATATATTTAACAGGGGGAAAGAAACAATCCGACAAAAACATCTATGGTGTTTAAACAAGCAGATCTCTAGATAAATTTCAGTTCCTTGGCCTCCTGTTAGAAACTCTTCCTGTAATGCATGCTCTCCACAGTGAAAAGTCCTGTCTTCTTTTTTCTTAATTGATTGATTGATTTTTTTCTGTTATGATCTGAATATAGTTCTCTGTGTTATACAATAAGACCTTGCTATTTATCCATTTGATATAAAATGGTTTGCATCTGCTAACCCCAAACTCCTAATTTATAAAAAATCCTATCTTCTTGTTTTTAAACTGGAGTATAATTGTTTTACAATCTTGTGCTAGTTTCTGCTGCACAACAAAGTGAATCAGCTGTATGTGTATATATACCCCCTCCCTCTACAGCCTCCCTCCCACCCTCATCTTCATCCCAGCCCTCCAGGTCATCACAGAGCACTGATTTGAGCTCCTGTGCTGTACCCAAGGTTCCCACTAGCACTGTCTTCTTGCCTGATCTTCTACTTCCATCTTTAATGATTTACAGTAGGAATATATCATTATTTTCTCTGTCTCTGCTTATGTTCCCCCCCCCCCCCTTTTTCCTTATCTTATCTCAGGTAGAGCTGTTTGGAGCATCCTCATGCTTGTTTCTTTATCACTGACTGGTTTTGTTTCCCTCTTACAGAGGGAGCTGACCTGAGCCTGAGACTGGTAGATGGAGTCACCAAGTGTTCAGGAAGATTAGAAGTGAGATTCAAAGGAGAATGGGGGACAGTGTGTGATGATGGCTGGGACAGCGATGATGCTGCTGTAGCGTGTCAGCAATTGGGATGTCCGACTGCCGTCACTGCCATCGGTAGAGTCAATGCCAGTGAGGGAACTGGAAACATTTGGCTTGACAGTGTTTCCTGCCAAGGACATGAATCTGCTATCTGGCAGTGCAGACATCACGAATGGGGAAAGCATTACTGCAATCATAATGAAGATGCTGGTGTGACCTGTTCTGGTAAGTTAAATCAAGAAAAACAGAGAAAGAAGGCTCTGTGTTCTTTAGGAGTAAGAATAGATGTAAGAGGTGAGAGAGAACTAGCTAATGATTTCCTTGTTAGGAATTCTTTTCAGGTATGAGGAATCTTTAACACATTCTTTTTTTGACTAGTTTGGAGGGTTGTCTGTCTCTATTTTCTATAAAAATTGTTTCAACTGCTATTAGGGACCACACTTCAAATTATAAATCTACAAGTTTTGAAACTATAGCCCCATTTCTAACCAAATTCATGGTCTATGCTGCTCTTCTAAAAGCCAGGAAGTAGGTAAGCCAGAATTTATAGTGCCTCAGTATCTGAGAAGGAACAAGATTGAAAAAATACCCTATGGTAGCTAACCTCCATATGTAGCTATGGTCTAAGTGTATGTTTCTTTTGCAGATGGATCAGATCTCGAACTGAGACTCAAAGGTGGAGGTAGCCGCTGTGCTGGGACAGTGGAGGTGGAAATTCAGAAACTGACAGGGAAAGTGTGTGACAGAGGCTGGGGACTGAAAGAAGCTGATGTGGTTTGCAAGCAGCTGGGATGTGGATCTGCACTCAAAACATCCTATCAAGTTTATTCCAAAATTCAGGCAACAAACACATGGCTGTTTTTAAGCAACTGCAATGGAAATGAAACTTCTATCTGGGACTGCAAGAACTGGCAATGGGGTGGGCTTAGCTGTGAACACTATGATGAAGCCAAAGTTACTTGCTCAGGTAAGACTTTCAATCAACCTGTAAAGAAGCTGCATTCCAATTTCATTCTTCTACATAGAGCTGTTCAGTTTCCCAGTACTACTTATCTAAGAGACTATCTTTTCTTCATTGTATATTCTTGTCTCCTTTGTGATAGATTATGTGTGGGTTTATCTCTGGACTTTGTATCCTCTTCCATTAATCTCTGTGTCTGCTTTTGTCTCAGTACCATGCTATTTTGATTACTGTAGCTTTGTAGTATAGTCTGAAGTTAGACAGCCCAATTCTTCCAGCTCTATTCTTCTTTCTCAAGCTTGTTTTGGCAATTTGGGATCTGTTGTGCTTCCATACAAATTTAAAATTTATTGCTTAATTCTGTAAAAAATGCCATCAGTAATTTGATAGGGATTGCATTGAATCTGTAGATTGCCTTGGGAGTATGGTCATTTTAACCATATTTAACTGAATTGATTCTTCCAGTCTAAGAGCAAAGTATATCTTCCCATCTATTTGAGTCATCTTCAATTTCTTTCATCAGTGTCATAGTTTTCAGAGTACAGGGCTCTTGCCTCCTTAGGTAGGTTTATTCCTAGGTATGTTATTCTTTTTGTATGTATGTATGTATGTATGTATGTATATGCTCAGTTATTCAGTCATGTCTGATTCTTTGTGGCCCCATGGACTGTAGCCTGCCAGGCTCCTATGTCCATGGAATTTTCCAGGCAAGAATACTGTAGTGGGTTGCCATTCTCTACTCCAGGGGATCTTCCTGATCCAAGATCAAAACTGTGCCTCTTGTGTATCTTGCATTGGCAGGCGGATTCTTTTTGACTAGCGCCACCTGGGAAGCCCTTTTGATGTGATGGTAAACGGAACTGTTTCCTTAATTTCTCTTTCTGATAACTCATTGTTAGTGTATAGAAAGACAACAGATTTCTGTATATTCATTCTGTATCCTGCAACTTTACCAAATTCACTGAAGAACTCTAGTAATTTTTTGGTAGTGACTTTAGGAGTTTCTATGCACAGTGTCATCTCGACTGCAAACAGTGACAGCGTTACTTCTTCCTTTCCAGTTTGGATTCCTTCTATTTCTTTCCCTTGTCTAAATTGCTGTGGACAGAACTTTAGATATTATGTCAAATAAAAATGGCAAGAGTGGTCATCCTTGCCTTGTTCCTGATCTTAGAGAAAATTCATTCAGCTTTTTCACCATTGCATATGATATCAAGTAAATTGCCTATATACAATCTACATCTACATATATATATATATGTATAAAGATATTATAAAATCTATATAAGCAATAGAATGGGAAAGACTAGAGATCTCTTCAAGAAAACTAGAGATACCAATGGAATATTTCTTTCAAAGATGGGCACAATAAAGACAGAAATGGCATAGACCTAACAGAAGCAGAAGATATTAAAAAGAGGTGGCAAGAATACACAGAAAAACTATACAAAAAAGATCTTCATGATCCAGTTAACCCTGATGGTGTGATCGCTCACCTAGAGCCAAACATCCTGGAAAGTGAAGTCAAGTGGGCCTTAGGAAGCATCGCTACAAACAAAGCTAGTGGAGGTGATGGAATTCCAGTTGAGCTCTTTCAAATCCTAAAAGATGATGCTGTGAAAGTGGTGCACTCAATATTCCAGCAAATTTGGAAAACTCAACAGGGGCCACAGGACTGGAAAAAGTTCAGTTTTCATTTCAATTCCAAAGAAGGGCAATGCTAAAGAATGTTCAAACTACCACACAATTGCACTCATCTCACACACTAGCAAAGTAATGCTCAAAATTCTCCAAGCCAGACTTTAACAGTACATGAACCGTGAACTTACAGATGTTCAAGCTGGATTTAAAAAAGGTAGAGGAACCAGAGATCAAATTGCCAACATCTGTTGAATCATAGAAAAAGCAAGAGAATTCCAGAAAAATATCTACTTCTGCCTTATTGATTATGCCAAAGCCTTTGACTGTGTGGATCACAACAAACAGTGGAAAATTCTTCAAGAGATGGGATTACCAGGCCATCTTACCTGCCTCCTGAGAAATCTGTATGCAGGTCAAGAAGCAACAGTTAGAGCTGGACATGGAACAACAGATTGGTTCCGAATAGGGAAAGGAGTACATCAAGGCTGTACATTGTCACCCTGCTTATTTAACTTATATGCAGAGTACATCATGCAAATTGCTGGGCTGGATGAAGCACAAGCTGGAATCAAGATTGCAGCTGAAGCTGAAACTCCAATATTTTGGCCACCTGATGCAAAGAACTGACTCATTTGAAAAGACCCTGATGCTGGGAAAGATTGAAGGCAGGAGGAGAAGAGGATGAGCTGGTTGGATGGCATTACCAACTGAATGGACATGAGTTTGAGCAAGCTCCAGGAGTTGGTGATGGACAGGGAAGCTTGATGTGCTGCAGTCTATGGGCTTGCAAAGAGTCAGACATGCCTGAGTGGCTAAACTGAACTGAACTGAGATTGCCTATCTGCACTTCACTAGTTCTTATTCTGGGGTTTTGTCTTGTTCCTTGTTTGGAACATGTTCCTCTGTTGCCTCATTTTGCCTGATTTGCTGTTTTCAGTTCTATGTAGCTGGTAGGTTGGTGAAATTTCCCAACTTTGGAGAAATTGCCTTCTATGGGAAATGTTCTATGCTCCCAGCAGTATACTCCCCTCTGGTTACCATAGCTATATGCTCTAGTTTGCCCCATACGTTGACAGCACAAGTTCTTCTATTGTGGTTGGCTGACTATGGTCAGTGGTCTGGTAGGCATGACTGGCCCCTAGTCTGGTTGTTGCTAGACCCTGCCTTGTGCAAAAGCTGCCAGTCACTGCTTTGTGGGACTGGGTCATGGGGTAGCTGGTTGCAGAGACCAGAGGTGTCTCAGAGTTAGTGCTGTTCTACTTGTGGTTTGAACCAGGTTCTACAGTGAGTGTGGGGGAGCCAGTTTTCCCAGATCTAGTGAAAGCCTGCTGGTGAGCAGAGCTGGTTCCTGGGGCAGCTGGCAGAGAGGTCCAACATGTCTCCGAGTTGGTGTCCATCTGCTTGTTGGTAGGGCCAATGCCCAAGGGATCTTAGGGTTGGTGTTCACCTACTGGTGAGTGAAGCCATGTCCTGGGGCTAGTGCCAGTCCAGTGGCAGACAGGGTCAGCTCCTGGGGTCCCCTGCGGCACGGCCCAGGAATCCCAGAGCTGGCGTTGGCCTGCTGATGGACAGGGCCAGGGCCCAGGGAATGCTGGTTGTAGGGTTGCATTGGTCCTGGGGCTGGGATCTCTGGGGGATAAGACTTGTCCCAGGGCTAGCACTAGCCCTGTGCTGGGTAGAGCTGGGTCCTGGGATCTTTGGCTGCAGAGCCTAGGGTCCTGGAGCTTAAATTGTTCAGCTGGTGGGCAGGGTCAATGCCCAGGGTGTCCCTAGGCTCGTGTCAGCTCACTGGGGTATGGGGAGGGGGTGAAGCTGGGGCTCTGGCTGCAGGTAGGTCCCGGGGGGCCCCTGTGCTAGTGCCAGTTTCCTGGTATGTGGGGCTGAGTCCTGGCCCTCTAGTGGGCAGGCCCATGTCCCAGGGTGTCTGTGGGCTCAGGGAGTCTCAAGGCAGCTGATAGGGGACAGCAGTAGGGGTGTGCGTACCTGCCTGTTAAGTTTCTTGGCCTCAGGTGTCCCACTTCTGGTACTGACAGGCTGGTGACTAGGTCTGGGTCTTGGTGCTAATAAGCTAAAGGGAGGATTCCAAAATGACTTTTTCTAACACCGGCGTCCTCATGGTAGAAGAAGCTCCCCAAAATGGCTGCTGCCAGTATCTGGGTCCCCAGGGTGAGTTCCATCACATCCCACCTCTCCAGAAGGCTTTCCAAGCAGGTGGGTCTGGCCCAGGCCTCTTTCAAACTGACTGCTTATGCCCTGGGTCCCAGAGTGGGTGGGATTTTGTGTGTGTCTTTTAAGAGTGGAGTCTCTATTCCCCACAGCCCTCTGGCTCTCTCAAAAGTAAGCCCTGCTGGCTTTCAAAGTCAAATGCCCTGGGAGCTTATCTTCCTGGTGCAGGACCACTGGTTGGGGAATTCCTTGATCCTTGGGGAGAACCTATGCAACTGCAATTATCTTCTTATTTGGTGGTCGTGTACCTGGGTCTATGGGTCTTGACTATACTGTGCCCTGCCCCTCCTGCTTGTCTTGAGGTTCTTTCTTTATACCTTTAGTTGTAGAAGATCTTCTCTGCTAGATTTTGGTCTTTCTCATAAGCAGCTGTTACTTTGGTGTGCTCACATGAAGAGATGACTCAGGATCTTCCTCCTCTGCCATCTTGGCTGTGCCCTCTGAACATTTTTGTGTATTTCGTGCAAGCTCTTTAAAAAACTCAAAAGTGGTCTGTGATTGGCTAATCTTGTGGACAATCCCTCGCATTTTATGTTAATCACTTGTTGATAAGTGATGCCTAAAAAACAACAAGGCATTCACCAAGAAACACCTAGAGCTGTTCTTCCAAAATAATTATCATATCCTACTGGACAAGAGGCCTTTCCTGGTGGCTCAGTGGTAGGTAAAGAATCTGCCTACAAATGCAGGATGCAGAGGTTCAATCCCTGGGTTGGGACGATCCCCTGGAGAAGGAAATGGCAACCCACTCTGCTATTCTTGCCAGGGAAATCGCATGGACAGAGGAGCCTGATGGCTACAGTCCATGGGGTCACAAGGAATCAGACATGATTTAACGACTAAACAACAACTGGACAAGAACGATGAGTTGCCCCGCAGGTGAGGGAGTGTGTTGGTGAGCCCGTCTGATGGACCAGGTTCTGCCTCTGAGACGCTGCCCTCTGTGCTCCGTGCTTCATGTGCCCAGGTGCTCTTCTCAGAACAGTACTTCCTAGTGCGTTGTTCTCTTCATCACTTCTGTGTTCAGTTTCGAGAGTATATCCACCCAGAGGCTGCACACCTTTCACAACCCACTACATGCTGATGCTGATTTAGGGACCCTTGGGTTGCTTTAGGGTTAAGTATTCATTAACTGATAT